CCCTCCAAAATCCACACGTACCAAGGAAGCTCCTGACATCAGTTATTGAGTGGAACGGAACTTGCCACTCAGTAATCTTGTCCGTCTTCTTCACATCCGGCCTTCGGCCCTTCTCATTGCAGACGATCCCCAAGATAGTCGCTTCCCTCATGCAATGTCTGGATTTGGCCCCGCTTGCCGTGAGGTTATGCTCTTCGAGCAGGATCAGGACCTATTCGAGGTCCTGGATGTGTTTCCAGACAAAGCGCCTTACCCCTGGTGAGACTTCATCGCTCTCTTTCATCGTCGGCCCCTTTACTGCCAAATCGTCAATGTATGGCTGTGTGATATGGGGGCTGACTGACTGCATGACCCGAATTATGGCTCGTTGGACCATTGCTACTGCGTYGGTCCACCCTTGTGGGGCCACGTTCATGTGGACTAATCCTCGCGGTGTGTGCATAGTTGTCACCGGCCTATCCGGCGGGTAGACTGGGAACTGATCGTATCCTAAGTAAAGGTCTATAAGCGAAATTATAGGCCTTCCAGCACAAGATTCTGACAACGCGTCTGCATTCGGCGGTCCTCCAGCATCTCGCACGGTCACTGCATTTAATCTCTGCAAATCCTGCACCCACCGCAGCGTCCCGTTAGGCTTAATAAAGCAGAACCACGGGGACACATACGGTCCACTTGAATAGTCGGCGACATGAGTACGTATCTTGCCGTTGAGATAATCCACCACCTTCCTCTCCTCGTCAGGATTGGAATACCGCGCCCCTCTCATGTTCCAAGGCTCGTGTGGCACGGTGTGGATGCGGATCATAGGTATCTTATCTACATCCAGCCTGCCACGCTCCTCGTCACTAAATGCGTAGGCATAATGCTTCCTCTTCATTAATTCCACCATCAGCGTTCGCTCCTGAGGCAGCAGGAAATCAGACTCCCCTATGATCAACTCCTTCTCGTTCCCTTCGTTGATACGACATGGCCCTACTAAAGCACTTTCCCTCATTCGTCGAATCAACCCTCGTTCCCTCTCGTAATATGCTTCCTTGTCCTTTGTAACGAGGACGGGTATCGGGCGGCATTTCTTATCTACCGTCTTGTACCGCCTTTGGGAACCCTGCTTGAGCCTTCCCCTAAAAAAGGCCGACTCACAGATTGTGTTTGCGCTGATGCGGGGTTCCTTCCACTGCCTGGGAGCCGATATACCAGTTCCAACCTTCCTGCCTCAGGGCATTCCAGAACTTGTTCCCTCAAGGCATGGATGGCATCCGGATCTGCCATCTCATGCGCGGCCACCAGGTCCATGGCCTTCCCAACATCTAACAGGCTGAGGGAAAATGCTTCCACCCCCTCTCCTGCTTCGGGCTCTGCCCAGAGCCTCCTGCGCTCCCCTTCCGACTCCTCGATTGTGAATGATCCTGGATTAGGCCGGTTCCTTATACTTCTTGGCCCGGTGTTCCTGCAAGTAATTATTTCATAATTCCCGCAGGCAGGATCGCATAAGAGGAGGATCAACGTCCCGTCATGTTTGTTGAACATCACGGTCTCTGTCCTGCTTAGGAATGACCTCCCTAGGAAGATTCCATGGTCCACGTCTGGCATAATGAAGAAGCATGCCCTGGCCTTCACCTTTCCAACCTCGACGAGCACATTCGAGGCTGTCCCACAAAACACGGCCTTACAGCTGGCTCCATGCAGAATACCGCAGTCAGAACGGTCTATATCCAGCCCGAATCTGATCGCGTCCGCCTCCCGAATAATGTTCATCTCTGCCCCGGTGTCCACCATTGCTGCGCAGTTGGAACCCTTCACCATCAAATCCACCGCACCGCAGGCTACGCACTTCCAGTCCATCTTCGTACCTGACTCTGCCCACTCTGGCTCCTTGGGCAGGATCGTACCCAGATGGACATTGGGCACCAGGCGCTGTGATAACCTCCCCTTCAGTTCATCGCGGAGTCGCGGGGCTGACGCTAGGATTTCCTTCAGGGTCATGAGGTCATTATGCCCTTCCAGCAACCGGTCAATCACCTTCTCTACGTCAAATCCTTCTACCAACCGGACCGCGTATTTCTTCTTTTTGGGCGGTCCATCATGTATGATTGGTTCGGCCTCTCCCCTGGCTCCATTTTTCCTTGCCCGCTGCTCCGCTCTCTGATCCTCTTCTCTGCGCAGCCTCTCGTCCTCTTCCTCTTCATCATCGTCGTCCTCTACTTCCACAGCCTCCTTCCTTCTCCCTGGTTCGTGTTCCCCCCTTAGAGGCTCTTGGCTGGTACTGGCCTTGGCTTGATTCCTCGTTCGCGCTGCCTGTGCCAGCCGGGCTTGCGGAGTGAGGGGTCTCCCCCTTATTCCTGGTTGAGGGCACGACCCCACCATATTTACTCCGGGTCGCCCAGGCGCTGACTCCGGGCCGGAGTCAAAGAGGAATACTGTGGGGATGTTAGACTTTCATCCTTTCACTTCTTTACAGAGGCCCACCAACTTCTGTTGGTACCTCCCCATCTTATCCAGCAAGTCCTTCATCTTCTCAAATAAGACGGACGGAGGCTCCGTTCTTTCTTCCTCATCCTCGTTATCTGACTCAATGATTATGGCCTCTTCCGTCTCACTTCCTCCTCGCAGCCCTTGAGTCACTTCCTCATCGCTTCCCACTTCTTCCACCCCAAACGGTGGTTCCTCCTTTTCCTGCCATAGCCTGAACATGGCAGGGGGCGGTGGTCCCGCTGCAGCTCTTCGTTGTGCTTCAGCTCTCACTCCTCCAGGCCTTCTGTCAATGGTCTCCCCAAACTGATCGTAGATATTCCCATCCATAGTAGAGGAAATCAGTCCGCTTCTCTCGTCTTCCCGTCTTATATTACAGAACCTTATAGTGTGGCCCTGCTGATCACAATGTTGACAGATGGCCGTCCTCCAGTCAAAGCGGGGTCTTCCATACCTCTGACTTCCCTGATCCCCCTGGCCTTGATACCCCTTGCCTTGATAACTCTGGCCTTGGTACCCCTGGCCCTGACTCCCTTGGCCTTGGTACCCCTGGCCTTGACTCCCTTGGCCTTGGTACCCCTGGCCCTGGCCCCTTTGGCCTTGGTACCCCTGGCCCTGGCCATTCCATTGCCTTCCTCTTCTGCCGCCATTCCTGCCTCGCCCCTTTCCTCCACCCCTCCCTCCATTGCCTTGATTGCCCTACCCCTGGTTCCCACCGCCTACAACACTGCCCTACGAACTGGGATCAGGTGACGGTGGCGGGGCCACAGGTTGGGCCTGGGCCGCGGGGTAGATGGGTGGTGGCATACTCATTTGCGGTCCGGCTACTGGCGGCGTACTTCCTCATGGCACAATTGCATTGATCACCGGCCAGGGCCACTGTCCATAGGAGGGCGCCCCGCCTTGCGAGGGGTCCGTACTAAATGATGGAGCCGCTACATTTAAAGGGGCGGCTGCCTGGGTTTGAGGCGCCTGCGCGTTTCCTGATCCCTGTCCGCCTTGCGCCAAATTACGCACTTTGCGCTAGACCTTCGTCAGGTGTTGCGGCACTGGCTCTTCTTCTTCCCAGAGCTCCTCCTGGCCAGCCTCCTCTATCACTGACTCTTTTCCTTTTACTTTGACAGCCGTCACCACCCTTCTTTGCACCACTGGCTCTGTCGCATACCCTAGCTGTGCCAATACGTCTGTTACAATCCTTGTTACTCCCGGGGTCCCAGAAGCGGCCGCATCTCTTTCCTTTCTCTTATGTCTTTGCAGGCGTACCTGACGTTGTTCCACCTGGTCCAAGCACCCAACTTCCACCGCTCTGTCAATGGTGGCCTAGGTGAGCTTAGTGCTACCTCCTCCATGTCTCGTCAACTCGACGGCCTCCGATGCTGTGAGTAGCCCCAGGAAGATGGCGCACTGCGCTTCCTCCGAAATCCCATGGACCTTCCGCGCCCTCTTCTTAAATTCTTGAACAAAGGCCCCTATAGTCGTAAAATCCTCTTTGTTCATGGCTTCAAGGTCCGTGGTAGTCAACAACCCGTCTCCCAGGCGGTACTTCCTCTGCATCCTCTCCTTGAACCTCTCCCAGCTACCTTGAGCCGCATCTATGACTTTCTTCACCTCCTGATGGTAGTTGTGGAGGACATACTGAATGATGCGTTGAAACTTTACAACATCCGGCCACCCGACCAAAGCTGGTTCCACCCGCTCTAGCCATTCTGAGACTCTCTCTCCACAGAAATGGAAAGTATCGACCTTTGGGATGTTGCTCGGGTTCCTTTCATGTCGGTCGATGGCCGCGATGAGGTCATCGAGTGTCAGACCCTTCTTGGGAACAACTGATGCGCCGCCAGTCTCAGGCATCTTGACAGCCTTTTCTTTTTAAGTTCCCTGGCAAAAGAAAACAAGTACATCCCCTTATTCAACATTATACCTTGATCGGCTTATTCCATTCGTCCTACCTATCCCTTAGTACTTACTTTACCCAATGTTAACACGATCGTCCCTCATACTTCCTCTACTTGGGTAGGTAAATTACCTCACCTACACTTAGTCATTCATATATTCCTTCATTACCTTCTCATCACTCCTTTATGCCTTTTCTTATTCACCTCCCATACCCGGATGTCATTCCACCAGGGATAACGGTAGGCTTTCTGTTATCCCCGGCAACGGCGCCACCTGTCGGGCGCATCGGTCCGGCACCGCACGGGGGAAGCGCGGGACCCTCCCCGCCGTGTCACGCAGGAGTTGGTTTTTAGAACCCTTCGTCGCAATATACATGGAGCTTCCACAAGCCACTCCGGTCGGGTGCGCCAGCCATACCTCTCGCGAACCCCTACGACAGGATAGGGCCTACGCGAGGCACGACTTACCTACACCTTACGGGAGTTCTCACCTCCCTTCGGTGGGCGTATCCCCGCCGAGCTACCAGTCCACAGTACGAAAGCTAATAAGTTGCAATCGCAGAGGGGACCAGCCGAGGGCGTTTCTCGTTCGCTGTAGCATAAGGGGGTACGTGCGGCAATACGCCTCTATCGGACCCGCACGTGAACCGACATCTTGGGGGGGCTGAGGTCCCAAGCGCGACTCATCGTCGGTCGACTAGGACGCATCCCACACACCACGCGCACTCCACTTTATGAACACTCATACACACAAAACAACATATATACGAAACGACACAATACCAACAACGCGACAACGCTCCTAGCCCCTCGGTAGCCAACCCATAACTTTCCAATGCGGAAATCGGATAAGCGTCGCGCGCTGAAGTTAGTATAAAACCTCGCGGACGCAGGGCATATTCATATCGACTTGCAATGCAGGCGTACACAATCAGTCGCAACGATGGCGTACTATGTAGTGTCCATAATCAAACGGTCCCTCGTGGATTCGAGTACCGCTTATGACACTCAAGTGTCAGACTTGAAGTGTCGTGAGGGCCTAGCCCTTCACGACATTGCACGGCTGAAGGAATAGTCGTGCAGCCGCCGAGGCACCTCAGGCTCTCGACCTGAGTGTTACAGTAGGCAAATCAAATAGGCTCTTCGCGAGGGAAAACCCCTCCCCTACAGAGCCTAGGACTTGGCATGTCCTGGACAAGGACCTCGAATCCCGGCTCGGAACCAAACGTCCGACTAAGAAAATCATCAAAAAGCAAGAGACAATAATAAAAGGAGAGACCTCCTCTAAGCCCCTCAGTCTCAGCTTCTGAATGGGGCTCTAACGTGGGGCTCTCCAACCCATGCAAACATTCATCCCAAGTATACCCATACATACATATATGAGAGTTGAATATGTGACGATCATTTTTCATGGTCTCATTGGGGTCTCTCACGATAATACGTATATGTGTGATCGCAGGCAACCAAATCCAGAATCTGATTCACAGCACATATCTGCCATCACTTCAACAAACCAAATCAACAGCCCACACACTATACGGAGTCAACCCCAACCACCTTCGACATTCATACCCCTTTGCTTTAACCATGCAAGCCCCAAAACCTCATGTCCAACCAACCTTAATTAAATACTCAGCACCTTTGTCAAATGGCCATTCAAAAAAGTCCAGGTGAAACCTTAATAAAACAACGAAATCACCAGGGCTAAAGCCTTTTAGGTTGAGTGTAGAGGGAGAGTTGAAATTGAGTCATAGACCGACGAATCGGCAACCGACCTGTTATCAGTGATAAAAGTAAGTGATCCTCAAGGGATCAAGCTAGATCTAGCCCTGAACTTGGATCAAATGATCAAAAGGACCTGTAACACACGACAGACCAAACCCCAAGCTAAGATCATAAGTGTATGGAGAATACAACTCCATAATACATCCTCACTCAAAACTTCCTTATAAGTTGAACCTAAGTCTACTCTTAAGTCAGTGCTTAAGCTGAAGGAAGACCAACCGCAAAATCTCCCCTATTCTGGGTGGATCACCTGAATCACCTGTCAAAATTTAATCTATCTCCTCCAAACTAAGAAAATTTTGGCAGCGTTTCCCGTAGAAAAAGTGTCTTTTCATAATTTATATAAGCCCAGATATGGGAGCAGAAATAATCTCTAACTCCGGGAAAGTCAAATTTTGTCTAACTCTCTGAATTAGTAGAAATTTTGGCAGCACTCCCTTTAGAAAGGGAGACATCCCAGATTTATACTAAGTCAGATATGAAAGCAGAATTAATCTCTAACTCCTGGAAAGTCAAATT